TATAGTTGTGAGAATTTAATTTATAGTTTTGAGAATTTAATTTATAGTTTTGAGAATTTAATTTATAGTTTTGAGAATTTAATTTATAGTTTTGAGAGTTTTAGTTGGAGTTTGAGTTGCAGTTTTGGCTGGCTCACTTGGTTCTCGAGGACTTGGTTTCGAATGCGGAGATCACTCAGAGTTTTGCAAGTGACTTCTGAAGATTGTTTTGATTCTTCTGAAGATTGTTTTGATTCTTTTTTTGCAAACTTCCGCGGGGCGCTCCCCAGCTTCGAACCCTTCAGGGGTAGATACACCCCGTGGCCCGCCTCCGCCGCCGCCTCGTTTCTCTGCGCCAGCAGATCTTCAAAAGATTCTCTTCCAGCAACTGCAGCAAACAAAAAAACAGCAATTTGCAACTGAGTCCTAATTACCTGAATCAAATTGCAACTGAGTCCTAATTACCTGAATCAAATTGCGACTGAGTCCCAATTATCTGAAACAAATTGCGACTGAGTCCTGATCAGCTAGATCGAATTGCAACTAAGTCCTGATCATCTACTTATTAGCAGCAGTTTGCAACATTTCTAGAAATGGGCATTTTATCTCTTTTGTGCCGCTTCCTCTCCGCCTCTACACGCGCATGCAACTACTGCATGCACTACAAAGTGCCCGCATGCAACTACTGCATGCACTACAAAGTGCCCGCATGCAACTACTGCATGCACTACAAATTCCCGCATGCAACTACTGCATGCACTACAAGTGCCCTCATGCAACTGCTGCATGCACTGCAAATGCCCGCATGCAGCTACTGCATGCACTGGAAAGTGCCCGCATGCAACTACTGCATGCACTACAATGCCCGCATGCAACTACTGCATGCACTGGAAAGTGCCCGCATGCAACTACTGCATGCACTGGAAAGTGCCCGCATGCAACTACTGCATGCACTACAAAGTGCCCGCATGCAACTGCTGCATGCACTGCAAATGCCCGCATGCAACTACTGCATGCACTGCAAATGCCTGCACAGCAAATGCCCGCATGCAACTACTGCATGGACTACAAATGCCCGCATGCAACTGTTGCATGCACTACAAAGTGCCCGCATGCAACTACTGCATGCACTACAAAGTGCCCGCATGTAACTACTGCATGCACTACAATGCCCGCATGCAACTGCTGCATGCACTGCAATGCCCGCATGCAACTGCTGCATGCACTGCAAGTGCGCACCGGGCTGCAGCGCGAGCGGGGCTGCGCGAGGGGGCTGGGGCTGCTGCGCCACTGGGGGCGCGAAGTCCTCTCTGGCGGTGCGCTGCAGCGGCGCGAGCCGAATGGTCTTCGCCGCGTGGCTGCGCAGCCAGGCGCTGCCGCCGGTCACCAGCGGCCACAGGGGGGGCCCTTGCTGGCCAAAAATGGCTTCGGCCGGCCAGCCCTCGCCCACGCAGAAGTTCTCCGTGGCCGTCGCGGCCTGCCGCTGCGGCCGCGCAGCCGCGGGGCCCTGCAGCAGCTGCTGCAGCTGCGAAGCCTGCGGAGGAGGAGCAGGAGGCTGCTGCTGCAGCGCAGGAGGCTGCTGCTGCTGCTGCGGAGGCTGCTGCGGAGGAGGAGGCTGCTGCTGCGGAGGAGGCTGCTGCTGCTGCGGAGGAGGCTGCTGCTGCGGAGGAGGAGGCTGCTGCTGCTGCTGCGGAGGCTGCTGCGAAGGCTGGGGGGCTTCTGGTAGTTGCTGCTGGGAGGGCGGCTGGAGCTGCTGCGTTGACTGTTGCTGCTGTTGAGACGGTTGCTCTTGCAGGGAAGGCTGCTTTTGTTCCTGGGCAGCCTGCTGCTGCTGCTGCTGCTGCTGCTGCTGCTGCTGCTCTTTTTGTTGCTGTTGTTCGTCGGATTGTGGGGGCTGGGGAAACTGCTGCTGCTGCGGCTGCGGCAGCTGCTGCTCTGGCTTTGACTTCTGTTCATCCGGCTGGAGCTGCTGGAGGGGCGCCTGCTGTTGCTGGACTGGCTGCTGCTGCTGCTGAACTGGCTGCTGCTGCTGCTGAACTGGCTGCTGCTGCTGCTGCTGTGGCTGAGGCTGCTGCGGAGGCACCGGAGGAGGAGCAGCCTGCTGCTGCGAATTGGAAATGGGCTGTTCCCCCTGACTAGAAAAGTTCTGGTTTTCGTCGACTGCTGTTGTTGGCTCTATTTTCTCCTCTCCGCCTGCAACTGCTGCCTCTGAATGTGAAGAGGAGGGAGCAACAAGTGCAGCATTGGCGCTGCTGCTTCCATGGGCAGCTAAAGAAGGCGTAGGGGAAGCTTGCCGTTGGGAGTCTTCTGCTTTCTCCTTTTGTGCTTCTTTCTGCGATGTCCCTTCGACAAAACCAGAAGTGGAATTTGGAATTAGAGTTTCCGTTGCTGGAACTGCGACAGCCGCACACATTTTTGCATGAACACTAAGGCCGGCGTGCATGCATGCGCTCGTGTAGTAGGTCTCTTGCCCGGGAAAATCCCTCTCAGAATTTATTCTTAAAATTCTGTTTGGCCCCTGCCTTGGGATGTTTGCACAACCAGGCAGTGTTACGCCACTGTGCAAAATTTACTGCTTGAATATATTTGCCAAAGCGAGCTTTAAGCGCATTTGTAACGCCTTGAAAAGAGGATTCGAAGTAACGTTTTCATGCAGATTTATTAATCTAGATCCTTCCTAAACCAGCCTTTTGTGACCACAGGGAGCTGGATAGCCACAAGCAAAGGGTTTTCTTTTGACTGGCTGAACACTCAGCTAGACTTCAAGTACGAATGTAGACAGTCAAAGCCCTTTTACGTTCATGCTGTGTGTACAACGCCATCTGCGCGTCAAAAACGTTTATTAGAGTCACTGTAAATATTGTGTTAGATTTTATTCAAAAAATGCAGGACACATAGGCAGAGCCTGCCTAGAATTAGATGAATAGAAGATGCAGACAGTCAATGTGCACACGCAGCACTGAGCAGAAAATCAATGCGCTTGTGCAAAACGCCTACCAGCAATAGAGATTTCTTTTACTGGGCTGTTTTGCCCGCTAGCTGCGGGCTCTGGTAGCGCTGTTGGTGCGGTAGAAGGAACGTCTAGATATGCTACTGCAGCAGATTGTTCCGTGGTTGCAACAGCCTCCGTTTCTGTTCCTTCAGGGGAACGGGATAGCCTTGTGACTTCTGTTGCGTTTTCTGTTACGTAATCTGTGGTGTTTAAAACGGCGGATGCAGAAGAGCTGGAATCGGGGGGCTCGAGGGAAAGATACGGATCATTGGCGAAGGACAGTTGAAACTTCGTCTTCGGTATTTGCGCTGCTGCTCTGCCTATCTCGCCAGCGGCAACTTCTGCGTGGAGTGAAGCCGGCAGAGCAAAAGCCTTGTTTTCTTCTACGGGTAATGCTGTGTGCTGGCTAGACTGAGGGCTGCGGCTCACAACCACATCCTCCGGAACCTCAGCAGACATCAAGTGCGAATTCATGAAAGTCTGCTGCTGCGGCGAATCCTGCAGCGTAGCCGCCTCCCCAGACCCAGAAGACGGCCCCTGCTGGTGAGGAGGAGCTGGTACTGCGGATGCTCCAGTCATATCAGCAACAGCAGTTGCTGCTGGGGGGCTGCTGAACCATGTGGCAGCAAGGGTGCCGCCCTCTACGAACTGTGGGACACCACGGGGGGAAAGACGCGTGGGTGGATTCGCAGGTTGGTGCACAGAATGGCGCATACTTCTTGGGGTTCCCCCTTCTATTCTCTCTAAATTTGCACGATAAATTGGACTGAGACGCAAAGTAGTTAGGGGTACGTGCTCGTACACGTTGCCCTGAAAACCGCCGACGGACCCCTCCGATGTGCCCACGCAGGTATTACGCACAGAGATGCCTCGCTTGTCTTCTTCAGTCTGCAAAGGAGAAAAAAGTAAATGTATTCGCAAAGTGCTAATTCAGTTTTGTAGGCTTGGCGTAGGTGTTGGGTTAGTTGCGCGGGAACAAAGGCCGAACGAGCATGGAACAGCGATGGAAGCGTGTAACTGTACTTATGGAATAAATGCAGACAAACTAAACCAAACGGGTTAACCTGAACTAGCTGAGGCAGATGCCTCACTTCTCGCTGAGGGAAGCCAAGAGAAGGAGATCCATGGCTTGAGAGTAGGGTGTTCAGCCTGCGTATTTCGTCGATACACTTTTTAATAAGATCTCTGTCGGTGGCCGTCAGCCTTCGGCCAGAAACATTATTCTCTTCACTCTGTTCCTGAGCTGGTGGCTGGGGAGGCGACACAGGGACGCTTTCAGGTTTTTCTGCAGGCTTTTCAACTGTGTCTGCATTCTTCTCAGGCGTCGTAGGATCTGTTTGCACTTCCTTCTCTGCCGTCGTTACGTTTGAAGAAGCCGCCGTCGCCTCTTCGGCCAGTTCGAGCACTACTTCGTCCCGTAGCTTCATGCGCAACTCTTCGACAAATTCTTTGTTTGACTTGGGAAACCTTTCTTCTTCTTTTTTTGCCTATGAAACCACAAGGGTTCTACAGAAGTCCACAACTACGTTACAAACAGTTTCAGGCAAATACATCAAGCGAAAATGTGGCTATATACTCGAATACTGTTAGTAACTGCCATATTGAAAGTATATGTACTTATAGAGGAAAGAACGTAGAATTGTTAAGTGGATGGCGCCGTACGAATTCTCTGCTTTGTTCGGCAGCAGACAAGGCACTTTCCTTTGCGGCCTCTACTTTATCAAGGAAATCGTGTGCTTGCGCCAGATTGTTCTCAAGCTCGATCATCTTTTCAGACTGGGTGGCTACCGTTTTTGTCTGAACATCCCAGAACAGGGACAGTAGGGCATGCATCACCGAACATGTGTAAACGTTATTCAATACAATTGAAAATATATCCATTGAAATGTGTTTCTTTGCTATATGCACTCAATTGCAGTGCAAGGGGCCCAAGCGCAATAGTTGAGAATAAGTGGGTGTTTGGCTTTCGATAGCTTATCGCTGCAGGTTGGACCCACAAGTTCCTTAATCTTTTCCGATGCTTCCTTAACTTTTTCTAGAAGTTCCATGGAGGCAATAGGCCCCTCACCCTGCGTAATTTCGTCGACAAGCGCTGCTTCAAAGCAGTTTCTGTCATACTGCACTACGAAAGCTAGATGATTTTTTAGGATGGGGAACACGTTCTTGCAGATGGCCTTTCCCGCTTCTTCAATTGGTACACCCAGAGCTTCAATTTCGCTGTCGCTCGCTATTGCACGCACCATTTCTACCATCCAGTTGTCGCCTGCCCCCCCCAACCCCACCTTCGAGATGCGAAAGCTTTTGCGAGCCATTTTAGTGTGGAATACGGTAAGCCACGCCGCGTTGTTATGTTGTTATATGCCTGTTATTATCTTTTCATGCATTGGCTATTCTGAAAATGGCAGCCAAGTAACAGAGAGTGCAGAGACACTGTCACGTCGAGTGGCTAGAACGGCAATCAACAGCGCACATCATGAAGCAGTTGCTTCTGCGCTGCCATTGCATGCATTCTTCCACACACAAAAAAGACCTCGGTAATACTAGAAAGGCATCATTGTACTTCTGAAGGGAAGCCGCATCGTTACAAACAACCAGCGGTTTGCAAGCTTCCGGCAGCTGTGCAAGTGGCAGTGTTGAGGTGATGCAAGAAACGCCATACTGCGACTCCTTCATCACCCCTCCAGTGGGATTTAAAAAGCCTGACTAATTCATTAGATGCATTTTTTGGCTGGCTTAAAAGCTCTGGGAAGCGTCTTTCAGAGCTGTGCGGCCCCGCTTGCATGCGCCTGTTCCAGGTCACTCGCCGAGCGAAATTTTGGCCCACTCCAATGCGCTGCTCCCCTTCTTCTCCTTACTTACTTCGGATGGACTTCTCTAATTGATAACAAATTTGAAAGAATGAAAATCAAAATTTTTTGCCTTTCATGTCCCGTAACTGCACCAGAAAACCGCGAGCAGCCACCACTGACTGACTCCCCGTGACTGCATGTCCCATTATGCATTTCCCCAAGCTAAGGGATAAATTGCTGAAATACTTCATATAATACTTACACAAACGGCTTGTGGCGTCAATAGTTGCAAGGCTAGATCAAGCTTGCACCGAAGCTGCACGGTTTCATCCCGGCGAGGTCACCTGCGCACGATTAACCAGTTAGTTTGCCCGTAAAGGAGGCTACAGCCCATCCTTCCCGAGTAAATCAACGATCCAACCTGCCTGATGAGGGTCCAGCGCTCTAGAATATATCTTTAATGTTCTTTTTCTCGACCATGCTTAATTCTTCTTCCAAAATGGTCCCCTTCTCCAGTGTTGTTCACTCCGCGCTGTCAAGGTGTGCGTGCGGCGCCGTTTATTGTAGAGATCTTTCCTTTCAGAAAATCCCTCCATATGCCAATGCCAACCCACATATGCATCGTTACAGAATCTATCTACCCAACGACATTCTTCCGGCGCACCGAAATGCAGCCCAACTGTGGCAGATGCACTCCAAACGAACGTACTTGCACCAAGGGATTATCTGGGACTAAAGCTGTTCAAAGCTAATTAGTTTCTCAGAAAATTTGGCCGGCACTATCTCCAAGGCCTGCACTACCTGCGAAACTAATGTGCACGGTCTTGTTGGGGTGCAAATAGCACTGCAAGAACTAAATGCTAAGTATGCGCGAGCAGCAAGATGCGTACCAGACTTCTACTAGTTTTGCGTCCAACATAGGGGCTTGACTTGTGGGAATAGGCTCTTCCTATTCTGCGCCATGCGAAAAAACTAGCAAAAACATGGATAAATTTGAAAGTGTCGATCTTTCCAACGCAACATAGAAAAAGAGGCGTCAGCCCTCCGCCATCCAGCGGCCCTGCAACTGCAGCTTCACGCAGCCGCTCTTGCTTGGGCTTCCGTTCTTGTTTGTGCTACTCCCATCTGTACCCCTTCCGTGTTTTCTGTCCCATTGCTTAGGGTAGTTTATGCGGCGGCCTTCTTCTTCATGGCCGCTGCGATGTTGCTGAGCTCCTCTCTCTTCGCCTTTCCCCTCTTGTGGGTGCCCAGACGCTTCTTGGCGAACTTAAGAGCCCGCTTGGTCGTGGCTGCGCTGCCGATCTTGATAAGGTCAAGCACGCGTCTTTCGTAGGGAGCAAAGCCAGCAACCTGACGAATGATCTCGCGAATCGCCTGCACACGTGTCGTCTTCTTCCCCTTTCTGCGGGAAGGACGTGGCGGCGTCGCCCGCTTTGTCACCAAGAACCCCTTGTTAAGACCGACTGAACACACACACGCAAACGCTCTACTTCAAGCCCGACATGACTGTCCTGCGTGTGGAAACGGCGCAGCGAAGTCAAAGCATGGCCATGCGCTGACATCGACCTGCATTCTCACGTATCTCCGTAGAAGCATTTGATGTGTGTGGCAAAAACCCTCGAGATTCACGAGCCAAGCCAGCCACTGATACAGGCACAACCATCTACGCATCGCCGCGAAATGCACCGTGCATGCATTAGAAGAGAACAGAAGGACTCTGGAAGCTTAGGACTTCACAAGCACGAATCTAAACATCCCGGAAATATACATTACATGCACATGAGGGCCCCCCGAAAAACAGGGAAGTAATGTGGGCAGCGCAGGACGAGCGCTGAGTAGCCTGGTGGCTTCCAGAAAGCAAGAGAGAACCGAGTCCACGCTTTCGAGCATTTTACTGGAAATGACAAAGAAACGGCGCAAATTTTGTCGGTGGGGCGCTGAGGGGCTTTGGGCCGTTCTGTTGGAGTGATGACGCACCACGAATGCCCGTCGAGGTCGACATTTTCGAAAGGCTTCGGATCGGAATAAAGACAAGAGGTATTATGAAATCGCAAAGTAATGCAGTGACGAAATGCGTATATGGAACCAGAGCAAGAATACAACGCCGCCTCTTACTTTGTAGGGGCTGGCTGCTACCAGTGCAGAAGCCCATGCCTCTCCCCACAGTTTCACGAAGTCGGCCTTGAGCCGACGGGAACCTTGGCTTGGACAAATTTTTTTTTATACTTTTTTTTACCATGTGTATACAATAGGATGTATTGGAAGGTTTTTCATGGCTGCGATTCTTGATCTTTGAGTAGCACCGGAATCGGCTTTGGTGTGGAGAAGCCTCACTCCCCACATGGTTCATCCTTTGCAGACTGAATCTTCTTCGTCTTGTGGTTCTTAATTTGTTTGGGACCACATTTTTTGATCTTCGGATATCTGTATCATTTTTACTGAGAACGGAACCGCGCAGGCGAATTCATCTCCGTGACGCTTGATGTGTATGGGTCAGCCTCCCCGCAAGTTTGACATGCCTCATGACGCCTAAACATGTGAGTCGATTCTGAAGGTTGTGATTACTGTCTTCGTGCTTGGGCTGTCCGCAGTGCAATACTGATTTATTTGGCGCTTTTTGCAGAAACATCCCTCATCCAGTTGTCATTGAGGCTAATGACGGTTTCCGTCGGGACGTCCCACGTCTGCTCCCCTGTAGAGACTCAGTGTGTCTAATCTTTAGTGTTTATTGCTTGTGCGTTTTGAACACTGTTAGGTCGAAACCTGAGAGAAGAAGGCGCAAAGGCGCTCCTCGGCACAACCCGTTGTACGAGGACGTGCTGGACGCGCAAGGCATTCCTCTGCCTGGACGCGCCATAGATGCTCCAAGGAACGCAAAGATAAAACAAGCGGTTGAAGATGCTGAAGCTGTTGAGAAATGCGCCCGCGATGATCAAGAGCAGGAGGGCCTGCTGCCGCCAAAACTTGGGAAGAAACTCCTCAAGCTCGTTGAGGAGCAGCAGAAAGCGTGAGGATGCATTCGTGGTTCGTGCTTTCTGAATTACGGCGAGTGTATTTACAGTTGCATATGTTTGGTTTTGTAGAAAGTGTAACACGTGACGGGCAGCCTTGAAGAGATGGGCTGACTTACGGGCTGTTTCTGCACTTTGTGATACGAACAGGGAAGGAATAGTCGACGCATCTGATGGAGAGGCCAGTGGCCTCGATGAGGAGAAGGCAGACAAAGACGGATTTGTTGTTTTGGATTGCGAGGAGGATGAGGAGGACTTGGTATTCGAGAAACAACGGGCTGGAAGCTCTGCGGCACGGGCAACAATTAATCTTGCGGACCTCGTAATGGAGCAGCTCAAGAAACAGACAGAAAACAAGGATAATTCACAGGAACGGCGTGTGGAATCATCCCTGTCGCCGAAGGTTGTGGAGGTTTACACGGCCATGGCGCCTTTTCTCGCACGTTACAGGAGCGGAAAGATGCCAAAGGCCTTCAAAATCATTCCGCGATTGCATGCTTGGGAAGAAATACTTGTGCTTACGAATCCGCATATGTGGTCTAAGCAGGCCACACGGGAGGCAACGCGGATATTCTGCAGCAATCTACGAGAAGCAATGGCACAGCGGTTCCTCTGCACAGTCCTACTACCGGCTGTACGTGACGACATCGCGGAGAACAAAAAGCTAAATTATCATCTCTACATGGCGTTGAAGAAGGCACTGTTCAAACCAGGCGCATTCTTTAAGGGCATTTATCTACCACTGGCCCTCGATGTACGGAAGGTTCTTCAAGCACACTGCTTTGTAGATAGTGCTGCCGTACAGTTGAAGATCTTAAAGTCTCAGCGATACGGATAGTGCGGATAGTAGAGGGCTGCAAGCGGGCGGGTGTGTGTTTTGCAGGGCTGCACGATCCGGGAGGCTGTGATTGTCGGGAGTGTTGTGGCAAAAGTGTCAATCCCTGTGCTTCATGGCGCTGCAGCTTTGTTCCGACTAGCTGCAGTAACACCGGACCAATGGATACCATCTGTTAGCCATATGATGACCGTTTTAATTGACAAAAAGTACTCACTTCCAGTTCAGGTGGGTTGACGTTCAAGATATTTTAGATTAGACTTTGGGCTTGTAACATCGGGCAAGGAACACTCGGTCTCAGCCTCAGTAGATTGCTTGGGATCTTTTTTCACCTTGCGACACTGTTGACAGCGTCTATCTGTGGCTCTTGTCGCAACGCCCACACAGGGTCATTTATTAACGCTGCAAAATGCCACGACGATTTGTTTACTATGTGACATTGAATGCAGGCTATAAATGAATGCGTTGACCACTTCCATCGATTTGCGTCGAGCGAAGTTAGAGTTACCGTGGCATGGCATAAGTGCCTGCTGGTGTTGGTGCAGCGGTACAAAGGTGAGTACGGAGGATTGGTATTGGCATTTTACGCACAATATGTATTTGTTTCCGTAGGGCAGAGATTTTTCTCGTCCGAATGCTGTGTTGTATGCAGTTAATTTATCAGCGAGTCACAGAATGAAGCTGAAGGCTGTTCTCCAGTCTCATTTCCACGCCAAGGTCGGGCCGGAAATTCGAAGGGAGCTTGCAGCCCAGCAGCCCGCGCTTCTACTAGAGCAGCAGCAGCGCGCACTGCTCGAACTTGCCGAAAAGCATAGAAACGCGGAAGACATTGAAGTTGACTGAAACTTTTTTTTAAGCTTACCTTCTTGAGAGTAATTGTCCAGTGTATTAGCGTAGTAGGCATGTAGTCAGCATAAGTTATTTTTTGTGCTTCGTGATGATTGACAATCTCTGACAGGCGGAAGTATCTTCTGTCGACAAATGTTGTCGCCCCAGGCTGAGAAGCTTTGAGTAGCAAATGTCCGTAGAATGTGAATGCATTGGTTGCATACGCATGATCGTAGTGTGGTTAATGATGTTATGGAGTACTTGCGCATTCCGCTATGATGATTGACAATCTCTGACAGTCGTAAGGAAAACCTGTCGACAATCATTGTCGCCCCAGGCTGATCATCTTGCATTGCGGAAGAGGCTGCCTTCATCAGCTTTTGTTCGTGCAGGGATACATGCGGTTTCCGTGTGTGGCTTTCTTTAATCTGTGCAAGAAACTCAGTCCCCCCGTCTTTCATCATGGCTGGTGGACCCTTTCATCTTGCAATACTAGACATCGCAACATTTTCGCGGTGACAGGGCGTAACCTTGATGGGACACATGTGCCTTCGTTACCGATACATGTAGCGACATGCGATTGTTATGGGCAGCGCTAGAGGTGCTTCCTGGGCCTTTGAATCCGAAATGATGATTTCTCAACGCTTGGCTTCCGAAGACGTGTCTTGTGGAAACCAGTAAAAACCAGTTATCCCTGTCTGACAGCTTTGCATGACACGTGGGTTGTTTTTTGTTGCTCCTTGGCAGTTTATCAGCGCGTCTTGGAGCCGTTGTCCTCCAGTTGCGTTAAACTAGCTGCACACACTGCAAACGCAGGCACGATACGCTACTCCCTGCGGCAAGCAGGATCTGATTGCAGCT